TTAATGCTCAGTTTTTTATTCCCCCCCCCAAAAGTATGTGAAGAAGAAGAAGAAGAAATAGATGTCGGGAGTTTTATGGGAGGGGGAAAGGGAAACAGAGTAAAGCAACCAAAAACAGATAATAATCTCTACATCAATGGAACCCAAGGCCCAGAAGAAATAGAAAAATAAAGAACTAAGATATGGATTGGGGCAGAAAAAAGCTTAGTTTAAAGCAACAGGAACCACTTTATGGATACTCTAAAAGACTCACTGGAAACTTGGCGCCATTTTGTGTAAAGCAGAGCTGTATCAGTGTTTGGTGAACTAGCACACGGAAAGAGACAACAGACTTTATAGAATTTTGACGAGAGGAATGAATACAAATCTGGTGGAAGAAAACAATTTTATAATAAAAGGACACATTTTAAGCGTGCACGGTACCTTTTTATTTATTTAAGTCATCTCTGCACCCAACGTGGGGCTCACACTCACGACCCTGAGATCAAGAGTTGCGTGCTCTCCCGACTGAGCCAGCTGCCCATCAGGGCATCTTTGAGAGTCTTCCCAGAGTTAAATAGGGCAAGAGATTTGTAAGAGTGAAAGCAAAAGGTAGATCCATACAGGGCAAGTATGAGAATTGTGGGGGAGAATAACCTCCCCTTTTCTTTGAATGTGTGCCTTCACAAGATTAGAGTATAAAAGTTGTTTAGAGAAATGACTCTCTTCTATACAACGGAATATGCTGTAGAAGGAACTTTAGTTTTTTTCTCTTGAGACAGAGCTGGGATATACAGATAATGCAAACAAGATATTTCGAATCTGTATGAAAACAATCTGAATTGACAGATCTTATTTGGATAAAGATAGCAATAATCGGGAATAAAATGGGCAAATATGGAATTGGATGGTAGGATTGTTCATTTATGCACTTGAAAATAAAGTTTGTGAAATATACAGATAGGGAAACTACTTCATATGCAGTGAAAATAAATGCAGAACCTCACAGAAACAGACACTTTGCCAGAGGTAGATAAATTAAGCTTAGAATAAAAGATACTCAGAATGCGCTAGAAGTGGTCTTGGAGCTTCAGCTTCCTTTCTTTGGGGATGCCAGGTCATACTGAAGAAGGGAGAGGATTTTTTTTTTTTTTTTAAGATAGTGCAAAGGGAAGCAAAATGATCAGATTTGTGAAGCAGGTAAAAGCCCTTGGTGTCTTAGCTGAGCCGTCCAGATTTTGAGGATTGAGTATATACCTCAACAAGCAGTATCTTAATAGAATATGGACAAAATGAGAAAGGACACAGATAATGATACAGGAAGCATTAGCTATTCCTTTGTTCGAAAGGAAAAAGAAGGAATAATAAGGAATTCCTAAGGAATAGGAATGGAGCCTACTCACATTACTCAATTCCCCGTATAAAATACTTGCAGGAATATTTTCAAGACAGAAGGGCTAGCAAATGAACTGAGGTTTTTGTTTGTTTGTTTGTCTCTTGGGCTTTTCTTGTTTTCAGTGGAAGGAAATAACTGACTGGATACAGTCACTGCTTTTGACAGAATAAGTCATGATCGCCTTTCACAGATAATTATCTATATATACCTGAGAGAAGATTCAGAAATTCTTTTCATGGATAAAAATAAAGCAAGGTGGCATACAGTACCTAGTCTCACTTCGTTGGTATTTTGACATCTTTTTTGCCAGTACCCAAGGTATGATCTGTTTCCCAAGATAAACCATAGGCTTGAACTTGCCAGTAGCTATTCCAAACTTTAAAAAATACGTATTCTTCAAACCAACAATTCCACTTTTATGAATATCTCCCACAGATCTACCTACACAGGTAAGTATATGTACAAGAAGGTCTGTTACAGCGTTGCTTGTAATGGCCAAAGACGAGAGATAGCCTAAGTGTCCAGAGGGGAACGGATGAATAATGAATGGTATGCCGCCATGATGGAATACTATGCATCCCCTAAAAAGAATGGAGTAGATCTGTGTGTATAGAGTGCTGTCCATTTTTTGTGCTCAAGTGAATTTTAGAAACGCACAATAATGTGTATAATATTCCACTTTAAAAAATCCTATTATACGTACAAGCAAACGATACATTATGCATATGTATAGAAAGAGGCCTGGAGGGGCGCCTGGGTGGCTCAGTCTGTTGAGCACCTGCCTTCAGCTCAGGTCATGATCCCAGGGTCCTGGGATTGAGCCCCATGTCAGGCTCCCTGCTCAGCTGGGAGCCTGCTTCTCCCTCTCCCCCACCCCTCTGCCCCCTGCTCGCGCTCTCTCGCGCGCACGCTCTCTCTCTCTAAATAAATAAAATCCTTAGAAAAAGAAAGAGGCCTGGACGTATATATATTAAACTGTTAACAATAATACTTCCTGTATGTAGAAATGGTGTTTTAGTTTTCAATTTATATCTTGTATTTTTATAACAAGCATATATTTAATTTTTTGAAAACCTGCAATTTATCTGAGGGAGAAAAAAGCCAAGCCCTTGTGAGTCAACCTTCCCCCACCCCCAGACCCTGGTTCAATTCCTCTTCTCTCATCTTAGCCATTGCAGTTTAATACGAAGAAACACTGTGGGCACAATTAGTTTTTCCTATTGGGAGAAGTTTCCCAAATAAAGTGCCTGGTTTCTTGTTAGCTTGGCCCAGAACTAAAGTTCTGCTCAACATGACCCCCATGGTTTTAAACTACCAAGTGGTGGCTTCTTGGTAAAATCAGAGTTGTTAGTTCCTGCAGTAACTGAACATAAATCAAACATACATTAAGTGCCAACTGTGTGCCAGGCAGTGGGGAATGCAAACATGCTAGTCCCTCAACTCTTCTGATGGTTCCCACCACCTTCTTGACCATCCCGTCCCCACCCCAGTGGTCACTTTCAGTCCTTCCCGGTGCTTGTCTACCTTTGAAAGGCAGTCCTCTTAAGCTTATTGCACTTTTGACTCCGTATATGAATTTTCAAAGAGCTACTCTTTGCCTTCTGCATGAGACTATTCCCCTAAAATGGACCTCGCTTTTTACCTTTACTTTTCTAAATAACAGAGGCTGGAGATCATTTAACAATGGGAAAATGGAAAATATCAAGGGTGGGGTATATAATTTTTGTGTTTATAGAAGAAAAGAGGCATTTGTGAATGATTTGATATTTGTGAACAAAAACATATGTCAGTCACTGTTGGAGAAAGAAAAATATGATACATAATCCTGTTCTAAAGTATATGTATAATGTATAAATATTTTTGGAATAAAAATATTTATATCTCCCTCAAGAGAGAAAGTGGCTGGATCACATTATCTCTTTGAAGTTCCAGTTCTGTAGATTCAAGCATTTTCTTTAAAAAGCAATTTAAAAATTATGATGAGAAGATGTTTAGACTGAGATTTATATTATACATATGTGTAGGATCAATATTTCTCAAACTGCATTCTTCAGTATGTCATGCCTTTTGCTTCTTAAATCCATGAAACACAACTCTAAATAAAAGTTTTATTTGGGTTCATTAAAATGTGAAGGGGATGGAGTACTCTTTGCTGTTAGTTCTTGTTGTGTTACATTATTACATTACGATATATATTAGAAGGTAACTTGTATGAGGATCTTCATGATTTTTCATAATAATATATTACCATTTGAAACTATAGAGTAAATCTTGCTAAAATCTTCATTTTTGAGTCTGAGCATTAAATTACATATTGTCTCCCTTTTGTGCATTTTACCGGCCAATTATCATCTTAAAATGTTTCATTCTCCCAAGAATAGACCGAAGGAACGTCTGCCTATTTGTCATAGGTTGGGATCATCACAGGAGTGAGTGGAAGAGCTAACCAATAGGCCCTCTTCTCACAAGAGCCCTGTCCATCCTCTGAATCGTGGGTGCCAGCCTATTAATTCTCCACTGAACTTTAGGCATTTGGGGACAATTATGTCCCATGTCAGAGCTACCTGGGCTCTTTTTTCCAAAGGTAATTAAATTCCAAGCTTGAAACCTGAAAGATAATTGGCCAAGCAGCAGCAATGTGCCGAGTATAAGGATATCTAAGACAATCCCTAATTCTCAAAGAGATGGAACAATCTCGTTAGTAGCAAGGAATGCCTATCTTGCAATTAACACAGATTCTCTACACCTTTCTTTCTCAAAAAAAATGAAAACTAGGGGCACCTGGGTGGCTCAGTCAGTTAAGTGTCCGACTCTTGGTTTTGGCTCAGGTCATGATCTCAGGGCTGTGAGATGGAGCCCCACATTGCCTCTGCACTGGGTGTGGAGCCTGCTTAAGATTCTCTCTCTCAGGGCGCCTGGGTGGCTCAGTTGGTTAAGCGACTGCCTTCGGCTCAGGTCATGATCCTGGAGTCTCGGGATCGAGTCCCGCATCGGGCTCCCTGCTCAGCGGGGAGTCTGCTTCTCCCTCTCCCGCTCCCCCCTCTTGTGCTCTCTCTCAAATAAATAAATAAAATCTTTAAAAAAGAAAAAAAGATTCTCTCTCTCCCTCTGCCCCTTCACCCACCCCCCATGCTCGCTCGCTCTCTCAAATAAATAAATCCCTAAAAAGCAAAAAAAAAAAAAAAAAAAAAAAAAAAAAAAACCCACAAAAACTATAAAATCAAGGTGTGTCCGGAATGCACTATAGAAGAACTATAAACATATTATTACAGAAAGCATGTTATCTCCCACCCTGATCCTGCACATGGGAAAATGAAAGCGTATGTGGCAGTTTCTTTTCAAAATAAGATAAAGCCAATAGTTGTGTAAATAAGTGAATATATATATTTTAAGCTCTTTCCATATGTGCTCTTAATCGAAATTAGTCTTCATTTTACCTTTTCCTACTGTGAATTAAATAGACATCGTCACACATCAAGTCAGTTGTTCAGTTTTCTTCTGAGTAATTATTCTATTGGTTTTATGTTCTAAGACACCTGTTAATATATACACAGAATTTTAGCGGGCAGAAATTTGCATACCCATTTAACCTTGATTAGTGACTCAACTCATGCTCTTGGTGTAGGGCTTTGACCAGCTTCGACTTGAAGGATTGCTTTGTGATGTGACTCTGATGCCAGGCGACACAGATGACGCCTTCCCTGTGCATCGAGTCATGATGGCCTCTGCTAGTGATTACTTCAAGGCGATGTTCACAGGTAGGTTGGCTTGTTAAATTCTGCACCCCCATTAAAACAATCTGAAATGCATATTTACATATTTTTGCTTCTAAAGTGAAATCAGTTCTTTTGACCTGTGTCTTTCCAAAAAGAAATCGTTTCAACAGGAATATACACCTAGTATGTGTAGTTGTAAGTGGCGCTTTTTAAACTTGGGAAATGAATGTGCCTTTTTCATACTTCTGTCCATCTTTGTTTCACAACTTCTCTTTTCCAGATACACATCTGAATGCTCTACCAGGGACTCTGGGTCTGACTAAGACAATCTTTAATCCATCAAAGGATATGAAGTGACAGGAGAACATTTTGGAAGCACTTGCATTATACACGACTTCCATTAGTATAGAGATATTCCTTTTTAAGTACTCTCTTTTAACTGTAAAATATGCGGAAGTCTGATTCTGACATGAATGCTTACATAGAATAAAACTTTTCCTTGATTTTATTGCATCTAATTAGCAGCAGAAGTGAGTTTGACCTTAATTAAATTATCCACCCTCGTTTAATTGAATGTCTTTTTATTTAAGGTGGAATGAAAGAACAAGATTTAATGTGCATTAAGCTTCATGGTGTGAGCAAAGTCGGCTTAAGGAAAATTATTGATTTCATTTATACTGCAAAGCTTTCTCTTAACATGGACAACCTTCAAGACACACTGGAAGCTGCCAGTTTTCTTCAGATTCTGCCGGTTTTGGACTTCTGCAAAGTATTTCTCATATCTGGGGTAAGCCATTTTCAAATCTTCAGAACTTTTCCTGCAATATACTCTGGTGTAGAAAGACTGCTGAATTTGTTATGTAGGCGTGTGAAACTTTGGCCGTGAGAGAGAGGGCTCAGGTAGTGTGTGTTCTGGAACGAAGTTGAGAGGGAAACAGTATGGGTGCTGTTTTATAAAACGGAGTCACTTCATGAAAACCTTCTGTGTAATCCCATGACATCAGACAGGGATAGTGTTTGATAACTATATATATGTTAACCTGTTTACTGACGTTATCTATTTTAATCTGGTTTTGTTTGCCTTCATGCTTTTAGGCAGGCAGTCTTTCTTAAATGGAATTCCATGGAAACGTAATCTGAACTTCTGTAAGTCTTTTAAAGTAGGGTCAGTAATTTTTTTTTTCTTCCTTAAATACGGGATCTAGGTCTTGAGAAGAAGTAACACCTATGTGACAGCCTGTAAGATATAAGTCTTAGTTCCATAGAAACACATCACCTACTGAATCATTTTTAGCCTCTCTTAAGAAATAGGAGAGGGCACAACTACCAACTGGTGAACTCCTTAGCAGTCACATGGTTCCTGAAGGCACTGCCCTATTTGAGACCCTTAAATTATTGACTTCTGGGAAATGAAATGCTTTGGTTGCAAAGAAATATTGCCAAGAAGATTTCTACAGCTTATATATAGAGCTTGCTTTTGTGACTGAAAATTATGACAGTGGTAAATTTTGATATATTTTCTGACTTATTAAATAAATGGAGAATACATTTTTCTATAATTGATTTAAATTCATACCAGTGTTAATATTGGTAAATAATTGCTGTTGAGCTTTTTAAAATTTGCAGTTACTAAACTGGGAGCCCCGTTTTTAAAACCCCAAGTTTCAAGAGAACATGTCCTTAGTGATTTTATTAATAAGCTACTCCTTATCTTTACAGAGTCAGCCAACAGCTACTTTAACCGGGCTATTGAAAATATGTTTTGTTTGTGTGTTTCCATTTCAAAGTACTCACACGACTGTCCCACAATTATTTGTAAACTTTTAAACTAACTGCTGTTTTTCAGGGTTTTAAGGCAGTGTGGTGGTACAGAGTTTCGTGTTGTCCTATTCACTATTGCATAAGTAGCCCGCATGAAGTTTGTTTATTTCCCATGGTACAGTTTGTCGTCGTTACTGAATCTGAGCGCTAAATTTCCTTTTAATTTAATCACACAAGGCCCTTCCCCTTAGGACCTATCAGCATCTCTCCTCTAGTTTTGTGCCACTGATGTTATACGACAGCTTCATCTCAAGGACAAAAGGAACTGAATTACATGTATTTTTTTAAAGGTATCAAGTCCAACAATTAACTTAGTAATAACACTTAATGCTTACATTTATAGACTCTTAACATTGCTCTACACTGATCTCAGCAACAACTGGTCATCCTGAGCCAAACTAGGTACAGTGTGGTAATTCTTTGGAACTAATCATTAATAATAGACATTTATTGTCGATTTCTTCTCTAATACCAGAGTTTAGTACTTATAACTTTAGATATTGGTTGTGATCTGTTCCTTTACCTGAAAGAAAAGGACCAAATGGAATAAAGCATGATTTATGAAAAGTCATAAAAGCATACAGTTGTCAAAGTAACAGTATTAGAAATCAATTTTGTTCTAGAAAACTCTAAAACAAGTTTATTTAAAGATGACATCACAGTAATTTTGCAATAGTGATAAATTTTCTGTAATTAGAATGTTGATTCAGATTAAATTCTTCTAGTGTCCTCTGCAGACATCCTAAAACCCATTTCTAATGGAGAAGAGGCTTGTCTCAGACAGAGCTTACCTGTGGTATAGTTTATTCCTCCCTCTCTTGGTTTTAGAACTTTCTATGAGCTCTGAGGAAACACCTCTTTTCTTAGCGCCATTCCGTTTACCTGTCTTTCATCCTGTTTGCTAAGGATATGTCTGCATGATTTTACTGTGGAAATATTCCGTCTCAGAATCCATGATGATTTTTTGAGAACAGTTGGTAGTTTATTAGCATAAGGATTATATAAAATCTAACTTTTCCTTTATCCTTCTTTCATGCGTTCTATTTCTTAGTTAAATGTTCAGCCTTACTCTGTTTATTTCCTGTTTCCTTCTCAGCAATCAAGTAGATCAGGCAAAAGAGTAGCCCTTGGGTGTCTTTTCTGCTTATAAGAACTGGAAGTTTCGAGATAATGTATTTTTCAAAGGTAGATTTGTTTTGAGTTTTCCCACAAGCTAAGTTTTATGGATAGTTTTTAAATAGAACAATCTCATGTTTTAAGGATTGTGTGCTTTAAACCAAAGGTTTTGAGTGAATAGATTTATGTTTTTATTTTATTGTTTTATATTTTAAAGATTTTATTTATTTATTGGAGAGAGAAAGTGGGAGCAGGGAGGAGAGGGAGAAGCAGTCTCCCTGTTGAGCAGGGAGCCCGACATGGGGCTTGATCCCAGGACCCTGGGATCATGACCCGAGCCGAAGGCAGACGCTTAACGACTGAGCCACCCAGGCGCCCCAGGTTTATGTTTTTAACGATATGGTGTGATTATACTTCACATAAACAAGACACTACTTGGGTTTGAGCTTTTAGAAAGAGAAGTTAGCTTCCAGTACATCTATAGTCTATCCCATTCTTAACGATTTGTGTAGGTGAAAATGTGACTCAGCAAATAACACACAAAACATTTTTATGGTAGTTTTGAGTGACAGCTTTAAAGATTTATTTGAGAGAGAGAGAGTGCAAATGGGGGAAAGAGCAGAGGGAGAGGGAGAGAATCTCCAGCAGACTCCCTGCGGAGCGTGGAGCCCCACTCGGGGCTCAATCCCTTGACCCTGAGATCATGACCTGAGCCGAAATCAGGAGTCAGACACTCAACCGACTGAGCCACCCAAGCGCCCCTTGAATGATAACTTTAAATATGATAATATAGCCACCCTCACCTTTGGTGAGGTAGAAGCACCAGCGTTCTAGAACAGAGCACCAGGCCCCATAGAACAAGAACCACTCCCCGGCCAACGTGGTCATCTTTTGCAGTAATGCTTTTCTCTTAAGGTGTTAATTAGTATTATAGTTTATGGGATCTCGTGCTTTTGTTCTCGCTATGTCACTTTCTGGCCAGTTGTAGAAAAGAAAACTATGAAGCGGATACAAAGAGATAAGAGCAAAGGATGTCAAGCAGAGTAGATAAAACTGTCTGTTAAACTAAAAACATTCACTCGTATATCATGGAGATGATGGAAAATTACCTTCGTTTAGTTACGGGCCGAAAAATGACATCTGTTTTTGTCTTTAGGACATTGTATAATTACAGCATGCTAAATGCTGTGCATCCATTCCCTGATTTACAAGCAGGTTGTGGTTAAAGTTTTTGTTTATCATTTGTCTGCTACTTGGAATGTTTAACATCCAGCATTTGCCCCACGGAATTACTGTTACAGAGGATTACAGGCTAGCCAGCAAAACCCAATTTTTAACATAAGGTTGCTAAAGGAGGACATTTGTCATTGAACTGGAAATGTTATAATATAAGTATACAATTATCCAGAATAAACAAACCAGAATGAAGGTGGGCAAGAAACCATTTTCTTTTTCTATAAAAGCATATTTAATCAGAGAAGGAAGATGCCGTTGTGCTTTAGACTTTCTTTAAACTCATTTTTTTTAAGTTGTGTGTGTGTGTTTTCCCTGATGTGTGTATAGCATTGGTTCCCCTTGTACATTTATTATCACTGATCGGGGTGGGGAGGTCACAATGAAATGGAGAGAAATTTTATTGAGGCAACTGGGGGTAATAAAGAATTAGCGACAGTGGAAAACAAAAGAGGTGAGGGGCGCCTGGGTGGCTCAGTCGGTTAAGCGTCCCACTCTTGGTTTCAGCTCAGGTCATGATCTCAGTGTCACCGGATCAAGCCCCACATCGGGCTTCACGCTTAGTAGGGAGTATGCTTGAGATTTTCTGTCTCTCCCTCTCCCTCTGCCCCTCCCCACCCTCTCTCTCTCTCTCAAATAACATATATCTTTAAAATACAAAGAAAAGAAAGGAGGTGCATACGTGGGAGAGGCAAAAGGCAGAGAAAAGGAGTTCTCTCAAGGGAAAAATGAAGGAAATCAGAATAAGTTATTGGAAAAGACAGTTTCTTTTGCTATTCAATGATGATATCAGCAGCAAGCTTTGGGAGTGTTCTTCTTGATGTCAGAATTTCCTGTATGGTAATTATATTTCACATTCCTTGTTTGATCTAAGTTGAATTTGCCCATAAAAATTAACAAACATGTCTTTTCAGGTAATTTTTTTGCCTTTGGGGAGGTTTAATGCAAATCAGAGGAAAAATGGTATAGATAATCTTACAATGAATCAAAACTCTTCCTCCCCTCCCCCAACCAAACCTTTCTTGACTTCCTTATTGTCAAGGCAGACATTCAGCGAGTAATACCCAGATAGTGGTTGTTTATGGTTGAGCATCTATTCTCACTAGCTGGTACCCGGACTGTGCTGATTGTTAAATATTCTAAATATTATTCCTGCCTGTAACTTGAACCACTGCATTCTCGCCCATCTGCCATGTGGGAGTCTGTAGGGGAAGAAGAGGCCCAACCTGGGCTCAAACCAATCCATTCTCCCATGGCCATTATAATACGTAATATTGTATCCAAGAAGGGACCTGCATTCAGAGTGCAAAGCAGTAAGACGATTGGATCCCCCAAGCTGGAGACACACCATCAGTATTCCCCTCAGATGGCTGTTAGAATTTGAAGAAAGACAAAGACTGAGACAGAAAAGTTTTTGGTTTTTAATCATCTTTTTGTTCTTCTTACCAAAAGGTCCCTTCCCTGTGTCCTGTGATGTTCCCACCTGTGGAAGGAGGCCTGGGACAAGATATCTCTTATATCCTCTGCCCGCACCCCCCCACCCCAAAGTCCCAAAGTAGCTTATTTGATTTCTTCCCAGTCTGTGGACTTGCTTTCTCTCTCTCTGCATTGGTTGTA